TCGAATTTGTTCATGTTGATTGTTAGAAAATTTCAATCTGCTTTCAATCTTTCTAGATTGTTTGTTGTTGTTGTTATTATTATTATAAATTAACTCTTCATTAATATCACTACTACTATTACTACTACTTGTTGACTCTTCATAGTATTTTACTGATACTTTATTTAATCCACTTAATGTTGTCAATAATTGTTGATTTTCTTCTTGCATTCTATTTAATAATAGTATTTTTTGTGGCGATTGTTGCTGTTGTTGCTGCTGGTGGTGGTGGTGGTGGTGGTGGTGGTGTATATGAAGCTGCTGCTGTTGTTGTTGTTTTAATTTGTTTGGCAATAATGAGGATGACATCTTTTCAATTTTTGTAGTTGATAAATAATTTGATTTTTTATCATTATTATAATTAAATGATGATGGTGAATAATTATTATTTGATTTTGATTTCATTGAAGCCTTATTTGCTTCATTATTTGAATTTATTTTAATCTTAAAAAAACAAATAAATTATTTCAAAATAAGTTATTTAATCAATATCAATAATCATATTCAATAATTGTGAAATATGACGTACCAAAACTTTCTTTACTATCCAATTTGCGAAAAAATCCCTATTAAAACCAAATATCATTTCTAGTCCATGAACCAGTCCATAAATCATCAATGACATTATGATTTTTTTAAATATCAAATTACCAAGTTCTGGTATTACCAAATCAACTGATAATGAATAAAGTATCGTAAATATTAGCCAAATTATTTGGTTTTTTTTAATAAATATTCTTTTCGCTGTCATTCTTCTAGTTTTTATTTTTAGTTATAATTTTTGTTGTTGTTGTCGTTGTCGTCGACTTTGTTGTGGTTATTGTACATCTTATAGAGTAAATAAACAATTTTTGATGAAAAAGAAAGATTTTTTTTAAATACGTTTTAATATGTGTGCTTTTAGAAGATTTGTAGCTGTTACACTAACTGAATTTAGAGTTATTATTTTTTTTTTTTTTTGTGGTCGATCAATTCAAAAAAAAAATGGCTCAAAATATTTTTATTGTAGCAGCAAAACGTAAATATAAGATACTACTTTATATTTATTTATATAATAAAAAATAGAAATACCTAATACCTTTTAATTCGTGTATATATATATATTTATGTGTATGTACATTAGGCACTGCCTTTGGCACATTTGGAGGTTCTCTTAGAGATTTGACAGGTAAATTTTTGACATATTCAGTTTTGAAATTATTCACCTTTAATAAATTTTCTTCTATTGTAATTAAAATAAATCACAGCTACCGAACTTGGTAGTGTTGCTGCAAAAGGAGCACTATCTACTTTACCACCAAATTTACCAATTGATTCAATAATTTTTGGTAATGTAAGTCAAACTGATAGCACTGCTCCATATCTAGCAAGGCATGTAGGACATCGTACAGGTCTGCCAATTCATGTACCAGCTTTAACTCTTAATAGATTATGTGGATCGGGTTTTCAAACAGTTATCAGTGCTATACAAGAAATTCGTTCCGGTGACTCAAACATTGTTCTAACAGGTGGCACTGAAAATATGAGTAAATCACCATATAAACTTAATAATATTAGGTGGGGTACTACTTTTGGTTTAGATTTGACATTGGAGGATTCCTTAGCAATTACTTTAGTTGATCACTATCCGACAAAGACTCCCATGGGAGTTACTGCCGAGAATTTAGCCAAAATATATAAGATCACTCGTGAACAAGCTGATGAATATGCTTTAAGTAGTCAAAAACGTTGGGCTGCTGGTAAATATATAATATTTATTGTAAAATTCACAATATGTATTTATTTTATTAATACGTATGCATTTATATATATTACTATTAATAATAATATTATTAATAGCAAATGAGGCAGGATATTTTGAAAATGAAATTGTACCAATTGAACTTAAATTACGTAAAGGCCAAATAAAAGTATTCAAGACTGATGAACATCCACGTCCACAGACTGAAATTCAATCTTTACAAAAACTTTCTCCTGTGTTTATCAAAGATACTGGCACTGTGACAGCTGGTAATGCATCAGGTATTAGTGATGGAGCTGGTGCAGTGGTTGTAGCATCAGAATCAGCTGTTGAAGAACATAAATTAACACCTTTAGCAAGAATTGTTAGCTACCATGTTTCTGGAGTTGAACCCACAATTATGGGAATCGGTCCTGTGCCTGCTATCAAAAATGCATTAGATAAATCTGGCTTGAAATTGAGTAACATGGATTTGATTGAAGTTAATGAGGCTTTTGCTGCTCAATATTTAGCTGTTGAAAAGGAATTAGGATTGGACAGAAGTATCACTAATACGAATGGAGGTAAAATAATAATAATAATTTTTGACCTAATTAGTTAATTAATTAATTAATACTAATGACAATAATAAAATTATTATATATTTAGGCGGTAAGTTTGTTTATTAATATAAACTTATAACCGATTTATTAATAGATGAAAAAATTGAATCTGAAAATAGAGAATATTACATAAATAAAATCAAAGATCTAATTGAAGAAAGCGATCTAAATGTTAATTATTCTATGGAAAAAATTAATTCAGGGTAAACATGTAATTCATTATATATACGCATTTATTTATTTATATATCACCACTAACCATCATATATTATTATCATTAGTGAATTCAGTGAAGTGTTTAAGGCAACTCATAAAATAACAAATAAAGTTATTGTTATTAAATCGATTTCAATAAGGGATTCGAAATTTCTAAATATTTTATATAATGAAGTATTAATTAGTAAAGTAGCAAGACATTCAAACATAATAATAAATTACACCCAATATATTAAAAAAGATCATATTTATTTGTTGATGGAACATTGTGAATTTGGTTCTTTATACAATATTAGAAATAAGAAACCAAATAAAAAAATGAACGAAAAAGAAGTTTCTTTTATAGTGAAAGAAGTTTTAAAAGGTTTAAATCATTTGCACTCTATTGGATTCATACATAGAGATATTAAGGCACAAAACATTTTAGTCAACTCTGAAGGAAAAATAAAAATAGGTAAAAAAGATTTCATTAAACAATTTTTAAAAGTTATTATTAATAAAAGTATTATTATTATTATTATTAACATTTATATTAATTAGCTGATTTTGGATCGTCGTCAATAAATTCATATGCAAAATTAAAATTGGGTACAATTTATTGGATGGCACCAGAATTATTGCAAAACAAAATTTATAGTAATAAGATTGATATATGGTCACTTGGCATAACTGCAGTAGAATTATTTGATGGTAAACCTCCTTGGTATCCTATGAATAAAAATAGAGTAAGAATCAATACATTTAGCATTAATTGATTAATTAATTCACATGATACATATTTACATTTATATATCCATTTGTTTATTTATTAGGTTATAGAATTAATAAAATCTGTTGGTTTACCTCCTTTACCCTCAAATATTTCTCCGGGATTTGAATCATATTTAAAACATTCATTCACAAGTAATCCAGGTAAAAGATCATCAGCCAATAGATTGTTATTTTATCATCCATTTATTAAAAATTGTATTAGCAAAATTAATATCCTTGATGGAATAAGTAAATGCTAATGATAATGGTAGCAGTAGTAATTTCCTAAAACTTCCTTATTATGCATGTGATATTAATATTTTTTTTAATTTTTCCATTATGTTTATATTTTTAAATCTAGTGTGGGTTATAATAATATGTAATAAATAAATAATAAATATGATAGATTTACCATTTCCAAATTTTTTGTTTGCTCCAAATTCTATCTCTAAAATTTTTTTTTTGTAAAAATAAATCATTCCAAATGATTTTAAAAATATCATCTTAAAACGATGTTATAAAAACATTGTTTCATTCATCAAGAGTTATTTAAAAAAAGAGGGGCGTGAAAATAAGCAGTATCCCTACCACCGTTAATAATAATTATTCTGAAAAAAATGCTATCATCAACACTACAAAACATGAAATATAACTAATTAATCAAAATCAAAAGAATTAAAAAAAAACAAATCAAAAAAATACATCACGACTGCCACCTGAACTTCTTCAGTCACAAAACGGATCATCATCAAGCCTCAATTATCAAGAACGTTATCCGCTAGCTACGATGTTAATGGATCTGATGATTTAAAGATTTTTAAGGCTAGAAAAAATAAAAGGTTATTAAATACCCCATAAATAAACGTCAATGCAATCAAACACATTTAGAAAATTTAAACTATGATGAATTGATGAGTAGACTTGAAACCTTGGAATTTATGGCTCAAAACATTAACAAACAATTCAAGGGCAAAACAACGATATAGAAGATCTGATTTTTTTATTAGAAGAAATTTTTGAATTCATCAAAAAACAAAATACCGCAGTAACACCATAATTGAGAAACTAGTAACCAAAATTACAAAACTATAAACCGGGCATAGAATGAAACATAACAAGAGAATTTTTAACTAGGGAGCGGCTCTAGACGGACGTAGAGTGAAACCTAGTTAGAGAATTGTATAGTTTCGAAAGTGAAGCATAAATATATATTCGCGGAAATTATTATTATACTTTAGCATACCCTTTAGCATAAATTATCATTATTATCATCATTCAAGACTCGGCAAAAATTTTTTTTTATTTTTTTAATTAAGAGATAATAAATGTTGCGCAGAAAAATCAAAATTTTTTCAACAACAAAACTCCAAAATCAACACATCATAAAGAGAAAAAAATTTTTTTTTACATACAGTAAATTAATGGCAATAAAAAATACATAAATGTGTTCTCTGAGATTTATTTTATTTGTATACACAAAAAAATTTTATCTTACAAGACCAAAGTATAGTAACTTTTTTTAAAAAAAGGTTACTGGTTAGTGTTTTTTTTATCAATTTTCCCCCAACAATCACTATATAGTACTCACTTATTCATAGATAGATCATCAATTAAATATTAAAAAAAATTATAAGATAAATCATTAGAAATATTGTTAACGTTAGTATCTTCTTCATCTTCCATATCATCTTCTTACTTTATTTGTTCCTGGATTGATTCTATCATTTTCCTTCTAGGATTCATTTTTTGTTGGTAGAAATTTTTA